ACACCCCACAATCCAGTACTACCCCTCCTTCCAGCCTCCCTAACACCCCACAATCCGGTTACCCCTCCTTCCAGCCTCCCTTACACCCCACAATCCGGTACTACCCCTTCTTCCAGCCTCCCTAACACCCCACAATCCAGTACTACACCTCCCTGGCTCTCTAGCCTCCCTAACACCCCAAAATCCTGTACCACCCCTCCTTCCAGCCTCCCTAACACCCCACAATCCAGTACTACCCCTCCTTCCAGCCTCCCTAACACCCCAAAATCCTGTACCACCCCTCCTTCCAGCCTCCCTAACACCCCACAATCCTGTACCACCCCTCCTTCCAGCCTCCCTAACACCCCACAATCCAGTACTACTCCTCCTTCCAGCCTCCCTAACACCCCACAATCCGGTTACCCCTCCTTCCAGCCTCCCTAACACCCCACAATCCAGTACTACCTCTCCCTCCAGCCTCCCTAACACCCCACAATCCAGTACTACCCATCCCTGGCTCTCTAGCCTCCCTAACACCCCACAATCCAGTACTACCCCTCCTTTCAGCCTCCCGAACACCCCACAATCCAGTACTACTCCTCCTTCCAGCCTCCCTAACACCCCACAATCCGGTACTACCCCTCCTTCCAGCCTCCCTAACACCCCACAATCCAGTACTACCTCTCCCTCCAGCCTCCCTAACACCCCACAATCCAGTACTACCTCTCCCTCCAGCCTCCCTAACACCCCACAATCCAGTACTACCTCTCCCTCCAGCCTCCCTAACACCCCACAATCCGGTTACCCCTCCTTCCAGCCTCCCTAACACCCCACAATCCTGTACCACCCCTCCTTCCAGCCTCCCTAACACCCCACAATCCAGTACTACTCCTCCTTCCAGCCTCCCTAACACCCCACAATCCGGTTACCCCTCCTTCCAGCCTCCCTAACACCCCACAATCCAGTACTACCTCTCCCTCCAGCCTCCCTAACACCCCACAATCCAGTACTACCCCTCCTTTCAGCCTCCCGAACACCCCACAATCCAGTACTACTCCTCCTTCCAGCCTCCCTAACACCCCACAATCCGGTACTACCCCTCCTTCCAGCCTCCCTAACACCCCACAATCCAGTACTACCTCTCCCTCCAGCCTCCCTAACACCCCACAATCCAGTACTACCTCTCCCTCCAGCCTCCCTAACACCCCACAATCCAGTACTACCTCTCCCTCCAGCCTCCCTAACACCCCACAATCCAGTACTACACCTCCCTGGCCCTCTAGCCTCCCTAACACCCCAAAATCCTGTACCACCTGCACCCCTCCCTCTAGCCTCCCTAACACCCCACAATCCGGTACTACACCTCCTTGGCTCTCTAGCCTCCGCAACACCCCACAATTCATTGGATGTTTTCAGGGAAAATTACTTCCGTATTTCAATGATATTAAAAATTGATGTTTATTCCAATCATGAATAAAAATAGAAAATTTAACAACATGATAGCATCTTGCTAAAGTAAAAATTGAAAGCCGTCCTTTTAAAATGACAGTAATTTGCAATACTGTCCTTTATAAAGGACGTTAAGTAATTTTTCCAAACACTGTCCTTTTTAAAGGACGGGACAGAATTCACTGTCCTTTTAAATGGACGGGTTAAAAATGTCATAAGCAAAACACAATTTTTAAAAATCACTGTTGCAATATCTAAGATAGCCCCTTAGGACGCAGGACACCAAATTTCATCAAAAAATTCGAATGTTTAGAGTGGTTGGGTTGATATGGGTTAAACCAGCTCCATTTTCGTGTTGAGATAAAGATTTAAATAGGGTCATCTTGTCGGCGACATAACATTGTAATGAACACAGTACTTCCATGAATGGACCTAGATAATGTGATTAATCACACCCGATAATACTGGTTACACCTGTTCCTTCACAACTTCACAATTAAATAACCACCAAAACATTCATTTCAAATTTTGCACCAGAATACGATAAAAACCTTCAAACAATGTTGTTGGAATTTGTAATGGCAAGATCTGGTCTAACCTGTCGTCTGGAATTTTGCACACCCGAATGCTATAAAGGGTAATTAAACAATGCTATAAATGGTAATTAAACAAATGCGATGCAGGATTTGGACTGCTCTGTTTGACCTGTTCAAGATCATCAAGAGCTAATTATATTCTGATTTTTAAAGAATCTCAATACGATAATGATGTCGACTCATGGGAGTCATTTTCTCCATAAGAAGGGCCTTCAATCATAAACACAATGCATTATTGTTACCGAGCAAGGTTAGACTTGCTCGCGCTCACTGCAATACAATTAATATGTTATTATGAGATTTGTAGCCCGCATTGCAGAGGCGTTTTAAGCTTGCAGTGTAAGTGTGTAACACTCTAAAATACGTCGTGTTAGGAGTGACCCAGTACTGGCTATAACAGTTTTGAAACACCCTCTACATCAAAGAGATGAGACGTACTGCGACTGACAGCGACTAGGTATTTTTTATATCTATTAGATTATGTCGTTAAAGAAGTACCATCTACTATGTGGTGTAGAGAGAAATTCAATTTGTTTCTGGCTACAAATTATTGCGAATCAGCACTTTTAACAGCTAACAAACTGAGTGGTACCATATTATTATGAACCATATTATGTACCATATATGGGCAATTTCATGAAACATGAACAAGGAGGGAAAAAAATAAATTTCAGTTATGGCACTAGCTTTGATTGGAGTCTGAAAGAGAAGATTATAAACTGTTAGACACAAAAAACCGCTTATAAATATCTCACTTCGTTTCTGTGTTATCGCGTTTTCAAAATACCCATAAATTGTCATGTTTTACAGGCTAAAACTACTCTATAATAAAAGCTGTTTACTAAAAAGAGATTGTTGTAATATTCATTAATTCTTGATCTGTAAAGGTGCATACCACTTCACTGAAGCTGTATGCAAAATTTGGGACTCAAAATTTAAGCAGATTCGGAGCAATGCTATTCTACTTTCTCCTGTTTTTAGTGTAAATTACTATACATAAAAAACAAAAAAGTTTTCTGCTGGCCACATTTCATGTTATTTCTTGCTGAAATCTTGCTAAAACAAGCTAACTCTGATGTCAAGACATAATGTACTTGTTTATTTAGATCCATAGATATCAGATCATGTCAATACCAGCGTCAAGTAAGTTACATGTCAAGTAATTTACGTGTCAAGTAATTTACACATATGCTTTTTATTCAGTAATAGTAGTAAAACACAACAAGTAACGATTGTCAAACAGAATAAAAGTTATTTAAAAGTGATAATAGATTGGTTCTGGTCAGAATTTCATTAAAGAAATCTATAAAAATGGTTTAAAATGGTTAAAAATTGACTTTTCGAAAATATAATATAAATAATACTTTACTTTACAGAAAATCCAGTGGCCTGCTTGAACACAAATTTTTGAGCTGGGAAACATTCGTACATTTACGCCCACCTACCTACTCTGTATAACTGGGCTAACTGTGGACCCAATCAGTGGATCAATCAACCAATTAAGGGGGCCGGGGGGTCTTCATCAAAATTCCCTCGAAATTGACTTTTTAATTGTTTCTGATAGAAGGGAGTGATATTTATCAGATGCTTTTGGTCCCATGGAAAAATATTATTCCTAGCCGAAATTATTGTCGGTCAAAGATCAGCACTTATGTGTAATTGTATTGCGCGAGCGATTTTCAATCACGTGTCCTGAAAATCGAGTCTAAAAATCTATTTTCTCCTACATGTTTTGAGCAATCACCCTGAAACTTTCAGGATATGTTCTAGAGATAATTTAAAAGAGATGAGCCAAACAGAATTTTGATATAGGCCTTTAAACATATTTTATTCGATTTTGAAAATCTTGAACCTCGTTTTTTGACGATTTTTTGAGGTCCAAGATTTTCAAAAATTGAAAATCGCTCGCGCAATACAATTACACATAAGCGCTGACATTTGACCGATAATAATTTCGTCTAGGAACAATATTTTTCCATGGGACCAAAAGCATCTGATAGATATCACTCCCCTCTATTAGAAACAACTATAAAGTCAATTTCGAGAAAATTTTGATGAAGGCCCCCCCGGCCCCCTTAATTGGCTAATGATAAACTGATATATCATTATTAATCATATATTACATAGTTCATACACTTAGCAAACGAATTAAAGACAAAGGGGCAGCTTTAAACAGTTAAAATCAAAGGATTGTGTAACAGTGTAAACTACTTGACACAAAAGAGTAACTTACTTTACAAGGAACAAAGGCTTCTACAGAACACAGCTATTAACCATTTACCAAAACAAACCCTTTCCAGTACAGGCAAGACATTTGCCAGTGTGCATGAAAAATATTTAAATGTTTACTCTCACACCTGGGCACGAAATGAGATTTCAATACACGTTGGTCAGGAATGTCAATTTGTGCCCTGTAATTTACTTTACATTTTCAAACGTGCCTCACTCAAAAGCCATAGCAGTTGGAGTAAAAATCTTAATATAGCTGTGTGTGGAGTACATAAGAGCCCTCATAAAAATAAACCTTACTTTAAGTAAGGTTAGTGGGGTTTAAAGTAACCTTTATACCTTACTTAAAGTAAGGTATTAACCTTCCTTTCTTACAAAAAAGTAATGTTAATAAGTTACTTTTTGCGCCGCGCAAAGTAACCTTTATACCTTACTTAAAGTAAGGTATTAACCTTCCTTTCTTACAAAAAAGTAATGTTAATAAGTTACTTTTCGCGCCGCGCGGGTCCTTCACCCGCGCTAACGTTTCTACATTTATAATAAAGCGTGTTCCAGCAAAATGTAATGAAGACCCTTTCCGAGAAGAAACAATTAAACAGACGGCGATAAGATTTTTCAATTCAGGCGATAATTTTGTATCGTATTGAGTTCGATGTTATCATTAAGTTGGAAAACTTCAACATGTTTCGCAATTCTTGCTCGTTGATAAGCTGATTTTAATTTAATGATTAAGTCGTTTGACTTACACGATAAACGCTAGTATTGTGACGAAATTTCAAAGTGAATGTTATATATATATATACAATTTCTTTATCTATAAAGAAGTATACAGAGTTTCGAATATCAAATTGCAACAAAATTTAAATACTATACGTTATAGTCTTATTATGGGCCCTTCATAATATCCAATATGTAACTCATTTTTTGTTTTCAAATGATAGTCCTAAACAATCCTAATATCATAATTTCAGCTGTCGGCTGCGACCATTTGTTCAGAAGGCATTTTTTTTCGGCTGCCGCTCTTTAGAACTTCGTAACCTGGATAAAAAGATGGATTAATTATGAGTTATCTCATTCTTTTTATCCGTGATTGTTTAATATTCATAAAGTACAAAGGTTGATACTGAGGTTGATCCAGCAACCAATCAAATATGAAGGACAAGAGGAAGCAAATTTAAGTTGTATAAACAAACCAGGTGTGTCGTCGTCCTTTTATCTTGTCGACACCTGAGCGATTCCTGTCAAATTGAACAAATGTGACCGACATTGAGAGGCCGAGAACTGAGAAGGCTGCGGAAGAGAATTTGGGTTACCAATTTATCATAAAGTACGGCTCTTTATTAAGATACAAGTAAGTAAAATTAAATACTAAATCATCAACACAATAAAATATAAAACGGACAGAATACATATCTGAAAATCCCAAACATTGTTTTAAAAACAAGAATTAAATAACAAGAGTAAAACTTGTTTCTTCAATTCGTTTATGATATGGTATTTTAACCAGTATCAAAAATAGAATTAGATTGTTCAATGTGCATGAGTCCCTTATCGTTCTTATCTCCTCCTCCCCCTCCTCCTCCTACTTCTTCTTCTACTACTCCTATTCTCCTAATCCTCCACAGTTTAATTAAAATTATTGTACATTGATATCTTTACAAATTTAAATGCCTGGAGTAGCTGAAGTTTTTGTCTCTTCTGCCTGAACACCGGGAGTTGATCTGTTATGTAGCTTGATCGATAATGCCAGTGACAATGAAAATCAGTTTGCGGGTATATCGATACTCGATAGTCAATAAAGAGGACGTAAGTTTTTAGTGATATTTAAATTATTAGTAAGTTCACAGCTTTCCTGTGTCCTCAATACTTATGCTGACTTGAACTGTTGATAACTTTGGAATAATGTGACCCGCTTGAATGTTGTTTCTTAACTGATATGTGTGAGAGCAGATATCGGGGAAGTTGCGGCAGTAAGATATGAGGCAAAGAAAGCTGTTGCCGAGTTAAAACTCGACGAATATCGTATCCGAGATACGAGTGCCTGGATATCAAACAAGGTAAATTGTATACAGCTTGTATACAGCTTTTATAATTGTCTTATTTCTTTTTGATTTAGTGGTACCACGATTGGTGTAGTGGTAACAAACAGAATGCCTGGGTACAAATCCTGTTGGATGCGAGTAAGCCAGTCATTAAGCTGTGAAATTATACAGCTAAGGCTGGTGGTACACACTCCCTTGCTCACAGGCCTACCCCTATAACCATTGTGACCTGCCTGTGTATCTTTTTGTATCATTTTTTTATTGGTTATTGCCGTTATTGCTCCTAGTTGAATGCCAAGGTTTGTTCTCTCCAGCAAACTGAAGCAGCTGGGGATTGATATCATGAGCCATGTTAGGTCCAGATGTTTGGATCATTTGGGGCAGCATTGGGTTAATGTTAACTGGAATCCACAAGGGTGTGTCACTTCGTCTAGTGGAGCACCTCAACAATTCATTGTATTTATCTAAAATCTATGCTACATTCTGCTAAAAACCTATTCTCGTAGTACGGTCTGTATGTAAGTACACTGTACAGTAGTTACGTTTTAGAGAGTTTGGGCAATTGTATGGGAGCAGTAACAAGAGAAGTTCCAGAGAAGTTTATATTACCATGACAATGTGGTAAAAAACGTATCTATTGCTTAAATTACATATTATTATGTATATAAAACAATAATTCTGTTTCCATGTGATTTTTGGATATATCATATCTTAGTGAAAGAAGAAGAGATATCAAGAGTACCAAAAAACACCGGCGCCCTTATCTAGTGAGTAGTTAGTAGAAAAATTGAAGCATTCACATCTCTCAATCATTTCCCGTATCTTGTGCAGGTACCTAGAGCTCTAGAGGTTTTAATTTGAGTGACCTGGGGAATCTAGTAACTGAAACCGTAAGTCACAACAGAAACCTTATAAACGCAGAAATTGGAGTAACACATTGAAAGCAGTGTAGAGGTTGTTTTAGTTAGGGCTACACGAGGAAAAGTTCGGAGGAAAAGTTCCTGTCCGGTTACACCTGGGGTAGCCCGAAATAGAAATGGATCAGCAATGCTGTAGTCGTATTATTCCGTATTACTTAAACTGTGACAGTGTTATGAAGCCCGAAACAGTGTTACATCCAAAGTATTTTTAGCACTGAATATTTTTCTTCAGTTCCCAAACATCTCAGTATTATGTCAGAGAAGCGTAAGCAAGACACTGTTGTCAATGAGCAATGTGATACTTCAAGTGCTTACTTGGAACTTCCCAGGATTTAGAGAGTTTAATAACCTTTTTGTTCTCACGATGACTATTGGATGGAATCTAATTCTCCAGACATTGGAATGGAAGCTGAAGGTGTTCTTGGTGATATTAGCCTAGTCGATAAGGATACCGAGTTTTATTTATCAGAAAATATTGCAGTTCCTTTCATTCACTGTGAGACATAACTTGTTATATGAAGCGATGAAGGATCTGATTGAACTCATGGGACTGGATGAAAAAGAACTTAAACCTGTGTATCATCTCAGAAAGATATTATGAATATTTGGTGGGATTAAGTTCCACAATGGAGATCCAATAACTGCAAACACATTTTTGTAAAGCGTTTGGTTGCCAAACTGAGAACTGGATGTTAACATCATTTGGGCATTTGCCCTGCAGCACTTTCAACTCAATAGCTGAAATTTATGATGACACTTTGTATGCTTGACCCCCAGACCGCCATTTTTGAGATTCATAAAAATCAATTGTTTCCAAAAGGTGTAGAATTAAATGGCGGTCAACATGGTGGTAACGATTTTTTGATAGACCTTAAAATGACTCGTCCAGATCCAGTCTTAACCATAAATTGGACATAACTCACTAGCTAAAATAGCTCTGATACGTCCGAGTAGAATCTGTAAGACTGGCCTCCTGCTCGCCATATTTTGAGATTCAAGAAAATAGCTCGGTTGTTCAAAGGGTGCGGGATGTTCAGTTAGACAAAATTCCGATGGAAATTATTTCGTAGGCCCTAAAATGACTCCTCCAGATCCAGTATTTTAAACCTTAAATTGGACATAACTCACTAGCACCATATTTGAGATTCAAGCAAATCGAGGTTCTCCAAAAGGAGCAGGATGCTCAGCTCAACTGAACTCAATTTGCGGTATCTGTTCATTGTTTAATCTGAGCTTTATTCCGGCAGTTGTTAAGTCCATGTGGCTGGGTATAATTTTGCAATAATCTGAGAACCACAAGCTATCTATCAAGTATAACAAGAATTACGCCCGTGTTTCGTAGTAAATCTATATAACGGGAACGGTATCATTACATGATGGCACATTTTAGGATTGAATTAATATTGTCATTAAAATGGTCAAGATGAAGGGTAGAGATAAACCGTGTCATTACAGAGGATTAGAGGGGGATTTATTGAGCAGGTGTGATTAGTAGAAAGCAGTGAGAGAAGTGAGATGCAGGGTAGAAAGAAACAGTGTAATTACCGCGACCGACGTTGGGAGGAGGATATTATATTGGACACAGCTTAGGAGCTTAATAGACAAGGCCGAGTAACTTGATAATTTATTTATATTGATGAAATCAATAAACTTAAGTTATAACATAATACCTTCTAACATACTTATTTGAATGACAAACCTTAGTTGATGTCTTCTTTTAACCGGAATTGAAGATTGACTTAATGTCTTCAGGATATTCCACCATTTTTCTGCTGTTCACATTCTTGCCTACTTCTTTGAAGTTGAAAAGTGTGTATATATCACTTTGTATGACCCAGAGCTCCTGATCCTCGTCCCTAAAACGATTTTGATTGAGCAAGACAGTTAAATACAAATTTCTGGAATCTAAAATTAAAATATGTTCACAGTTAAAAAGTTGAAAAAACAGAATCCTAAGTAGGCTGTAGTTATTTTATATACCTTTGTCAAGCTGTAAATGATGTGCAATACATCTTTGTGATGTTCTACTCTTGATCTTCCTCTAAAACTCCTCAGTATTATATAAACTCTTCCAACCTGAACAGAAATGTGAAATGAAAAGCTTCTTGTCCAGGAAGTAGGTTTAGCCCCTTTGTACAATACAGTAGTTGTGTGTTTCCTTCGCAAATAAAGTGGTATTAAATAAATCATGATGGTGAACAGTTGCACAAGTTATATGTAACAATCAAAGCGATATTTTACTTTTAGGTACTTGGAAGAGGGTGTGGTAGAGATCCTTATGCACTACTGGTGAACAGTTGCACAAGTTATATGTAACAATCAAAGCGATATTTTACTTTTAGGTACTTGGAAGAGGCTGTGGTAGAGATCCTTATGCACTATGCAGTTCTTTAGATATAAATCTTCTCATACGACACAGTTTACCGACTTCACATTTTAGTTTAGAGGCAATATAAGCGGTGTGGGGTTTTCAATTAAGATTTTTGTCTATCATTACGCCTAGGAATTTAGTTTCTTCAACACGTTTGATGACTGTATTGTTCAATGTAAGAATACCCTTCAGTACACTGTAAAAAGTAGTTCTTTACAAAAAAGTCATTTTCATTACTGCTAAAAAATTGTCGAGACTTTGCAAATTTAGAAGAGTTCACAAGAACAGATTTGGCTGTCAGATCCTGTCGATAGGTAATTCTTGGCTGGCATTGCAAAACTAAACAAGAAAACTTAAACCTTTGGCAACCTTTTGTTTAGGGTAACTGCTATTTACTAGCGAGTATGAACTAACAAAACAAACCTCGCTTGTCGATTAGGAAGATAACAGACAACGATAAAAATGCCGAATACCATTGCAGCTGATTTGCAGGTATAATGTATGGCGTGAAGGTTAGCGCTCGATTCCTAAAAGATTAAAGATCGGTGAGCCGCGCGCAAAAATTAAATGTTAAGTTTAAATTTATAAATATGAACTAAGTTATATTTATAAAATTGATTAGTCATTTGAACATTTTTTTGACATAAGATATTAAAAATAAAAGCAAATAAATAAAAAATTATTTTGTAGTTATAAACATAAAAAACAACTTAATTCAATTTGAAATTTCAATTTTGTGCCCGCGTTTAGACTTTAGCTCAATGTAAAATTTAAAAATTGTTTTATTACTAAACAATTTTCGCGGAGGTCATTCTAGTTCAATTTAAACTGTAATTTATTTAAATTAGCTCCGCCAGTTGTTTCGGAAATCAACAAAAATAATTTTAAATTAATGCATTGAACGATTAATTTAAAATAAAATATTTTGTCAAGCTTTACGGGAACAAATTTAAATGGAATAAAATGAAACTTGTTAATAAGTACAAAATAGTTATTTTATATTTAGTTATATTTGTTTTCCTTTTTAATATATGATGTGAGACAATTTTCAAATGACTTATCAATTTTATAAATAAAACTAAGTTCATATTTATGAATTTGAACTTAAAATTTAATTTTTGCGCGCGGCACACCAATCTTCAATCTTTTAGGAATCGAGCGCTCACCTTTACGCCATACGTTGTACTTGCAAATAAATTGTAGTGGTATCTAGCATTTTATTGTTGTCTGTCATCTTTCTAATCGACCAGCGAGGTTTGTTTTGTTAGTTCAGACTCGCTTGTAAATAGCATTTACCCTAAACAAGAGGTTGCCAAAGGTTTAACTTTTCTTGTCTAGTTTCGCAGTGCCTGCCAAGAATTACCTATCGACAGGCTCTGACAGCCAAATCTGTTCTTGTGAACTCTTCTAAATTTGCAATTTCTCGAAAATTTTGTAGCAGTAATGCAGTATCTTTTACAGTGTACTGAAGGGTATTCTTGCAAATATTGAGATCTTGAGTTTTAACAAGCCATTTGGGTCTAATCGATGTCTCAGATGCAGGGTTGGGGGTCCCTCCTTTTTAATTTTTTGTCTCTTCAGAGGTGTGAGATAATTGTTCATGTTTTAACTTATCAAGCTATAATAATCTAGGATGTTTTATGCGATTGTCTATGCTATGATATGGTCAATTGGTATTTGAATATTTAAATTGCCTTACAGCTGTACTGATGGGAACCGTTTTGGGGAAAGCTCCTTCTTAAATTACCCTCTAGATCAAGAATATCCCAATCAGTCTGCTGAGTTGAGCTAGGAGATTGCAAACAAATTCTTAGCTCACCATGCCACTGGATAGCTGCACTTATGGATTCACTAAGGATCCGTAAGGTCTATGCAAAATAAAACATCTTTGCAATGCATCCTTGGTCGACTCAGCAAAATGATCGGAAACATTATTGATGGTTAAATTTATGAGAAGGGGCCTGTTTAAACTTTATGAAATCTGTGTGATACTCCCAAGGCATTGGTTCAATATTCTACTACCTTTTTGAACATTCTTTGGCGACACTTTTTGAATTGCCTGATATGTTCATATTATAACCTGTGCTGGGATCACATAATGTAACCTTTCATCCAAACCTTTTTTATCCTAGGAAATGTTCTGAATTTCAGGTACATTCACAACAACAATCGTGATAGATAATAATTTGGTATTTTGTTGTGATCGGAGAATCTATCTGCTCAACATGTATATGTCTCTCTGTGTACGTAAGAAACATTAAGTACCTAAAAGTAAAACTTATCGCTTTCATTGTTACATATAACTTGTCCAACTGTTCACCATCATGATTTATTTAAGACCACTTTATTTGCGAAGGAAACACACAACTACTGTATTGTACAAAGGGGCTAAACCTACTTCCTGGACAAGAAGCTTTTCATTTCACATTTCTGTTCAGGTTGGAAGAGTTTATATAATACTGAGGAGTTTTAGAGGAAGATCAAGAGTAGAACATCACAAAGATGTATTGCACATCATTTACAGCTTGACAAAGGTATATAAAATAACTACAGCCTACTTATGATTCTGTTTTTTCAACTTTTTAACTGTGAACATATTTCAATTTTAGATTCCAGAAATTTGTATTTAACTGTCTTGCTCAATCAAAATCGTTTTAGGGACGAGGATCAGGAGCTCTGGGTCATACAAAGTGATATATACACACTTTTCAACTTCAAAGAAGTAGGCAAGAATGTGAACAGCAGAAAAATGGTGGAATATCCTGAAGACATTAAGTCAATCTTCAATTCCGGTTAAAAGATGACATCAACTAAGGTTTGTCATTCAAATAAATATGTTAAAACATATTATGTTATGACTTAAGTTTATAATAAAAAATAATAATAAAATTTGGTAGCTTAAACACAAACTCTAAGCCCAGTGGATAAACCACAAAACTTATGCTCTATTGTGTGAAACAAAGATACTAGATCAAGATAACTATCAAGGAGTGTATGCATAGGACATAAAAAGTTTTGGAACGAAGATGACATGCTTGTGAAGCGAGCTAACAGTCTAATTGCTAATAAGTTCAAAAAGATCATGACATTAGGTTGCATCCTAAACAGTTTAAGCAAATAACATAAAGTTATTATATTGTCAATTAATCGCTCATGCCATAACTTTTCTTAAACAGGTGAGTTTTTAATAATGTTTTGAACAGATCAACATCGGAACAAGTCTTAATTTCAATTGGTAGTTGGTTCCAGATTTTCGGAGCAACAGTCTGAAACGCTCTTGGGTGTGATCTTGTAGATCCGACGGGTAGGTGTAAGGAGGAAGTTCTTCTGCTACTCGAACTAACAAATGTTACTAGATCACACAGATATGCAGGAGCAACACCATTGACTGCTTATTGATTTCATCAATATAAATAAATTATCAAGTTACTCGGCCTTGTCTATTAAGCTCCTAAGCTGTGTCCAATATAATATCCTCCTCCCAACGTCGGTCGCGGTAATTACACTGTTTCTTTTTACCCTGCTCTCACTTCTCTCACTGCTTTCTACTAATCACACCTGCTCAATAAATCCCCCTCTAATCCTCTGTAATGACACGGTTTATCTCTACCCTTCATCTTGACCATTTTAATGACAATATTAATTCAATCCTAAAATGTGCCATCATGTAATGATACCGTTCCCGTTATATAGATGTACTACGAAACACGGGCGTAATTCTTGTTATACTTGATAGATAGCTTGTGGATCTCAGATTATTGCAAAATTATCCCCAGCCACATGGACTTAACAACTGCCGGAATAAAGCTCAGATCAAACAGATACCGCGAATTGAGTTCAGTTGAGCTGAACATCCTGCAACCTTTGAACAACCTCGATTTGCTTGCATCTTAAAAATGGTGAGCTGGAGGCCAGTCTTACAGATTCTAATCAGACGTTTCAGAGCTATTTCAGCTCTGAGTTTTGTCCAATTTAAGGTTAAGACTGGATCTGGAGGAGTCATTTTAGGGCCTACGAAATAATTTCCATCCTTTGAACAACCTTGATTTGCTTGAATCTTAAAAATGGTTAGCTGGAGGCCAGTCTTACAGATTCTACTCGGACGTATTAGATCTACTTCAGCTAGTAAGTTATGTCCAATTTAAGGTTAAGGGGGCAGGGGGGGTCCTTATGAAATTTCTCTCGAAATTGATTTTATAGTTGTTTCTAGTAGAGGGGAGTGATATCTATCTGCTACTTTTGGTCCCATGAAAAAATATTGTTCCTACACGAAATTATTGCCAGTCAAAAGTCAGCGCTCATGTGTAATTGTATTGCGCGAGCGATTTTCAATCGTGCGCCCTGAAAATCGAGTCTAAAAATTTATCTTCTTCTACATTTTTTGAGCAATCACCTTGAAACTTTCAGGATATGTTCTAAGGACCATTTAAAAGATTTCACTCCTTTTAGAATTTCGAGATACGGGTATCGGCCTTACAAAATGACACGAAAAAGGAGATGGCTCTGAAATGCACAAAAATGAGTTTTTTTCATGTTTTATTATCCAGATAGGTAGTTCAACAGGTATATTTTTCTTCCCGGGGGTTGATTTGATTGAAAAACCGTAAATTTTGCGATAAAAATTGTCATCTTTGAAATCTTCCAAAAAAACATGCCTTACAAAATGACAATTTCGTCACGGCTGTCATTTTTTAACAGCAGCCTATAGAAATTTGATTTCACCTAGGACAGTTAGATAAATATAATAGATTGAAGATTAGAATCGCTTTTACAGGAAAAAGGATGATTAAAAAAAGTTGGGCAATTTCGCGTGAGATAGTGCCTTACAAAATGACAACCCAAAACGGCATCACTTCAAATCCGATTTGGGAAAAAGTTTCATTATTCTTTCACGTGTCTTACTGTTAGATATATATGTTGTTTATATTATACCAGTTCTGTTTTTACCAGAATATATTAAAAAAGGAACATTTTTTATACTTTGAAAAAACTTTAAAAATGTCATTTTGTGAGGCGTAAAAATCATTTTTTGTTTTCATACTTGAACACAGTATTTGGTTATATTTGATATTTTCTATGACTGGATAGATCACTTTTCAGTGTTTAGTTAACGTTTGACATGTTTTAGGAGTTGTTATTACTCTCTGCTTTCACAAAATAGAAGCTTTATGTCGTTGAGTTTTGAAATCAGAGTTTGAAATCAAAGAGTTTGAAATCAAAGTTTTGATATCAGAACTGCACTTTTTTAATGCTACTTGATTGTTAATTGTCAGATTATGATTATTTTTAACTCCTTCTTGTATTGACTGTTTCTGATCCATTTTAGATGATGAAAATAATTCAATCTGAAACATTGTCATTTTGTAAGGCTTTTCGGTGTCATTTTGTGAGGCATTTTGATCAAAATTGATGATCAAACAAACACATTTAGGCTCATCATAAGCTTACTGGGTTTAAGAATACCAATAATTAGGCAAGGGGCATCCAATATAAATATGCCATCTTTGTATCATAAAATAAAACTGTCATTTTGTGAGGCATAACACTGTCATTTTGTGAGGCTAGGTCATTTTTTTGTCATTTCTTCTACCAAAGTCACTAAATCAGTTTTTTTAGAGGTCAACAAATTTTCAGAGGTCAACAAATTTTCAACCGAAATGTCTGTTTTTGTTACTTGTTAAAGAAGTTATTTCAATTTACAGTTATTGATATTACTCAGAAATAGAAAAAAAAACACGTCTATTTAAAGGAAAATAAATCTAAGCAATAATAAGTCAAATCTTCATTAAAGCGTATTCTCATTCTCATTATCGCTGATGTCCCCGCCATTATCATTATTGATATCCCCCTGAGCTGCTGACCGTCAAATTCGAAGTTGTATTGTTGTCTTAACAAGACTTTCATTTTGTCCGCTAATGGGGCTACTGCTCTGAAGGTCAGCCGGAGCTTAATTTCCTGCCCACCGCGCCGCTTGGTATTGGGGAACGTCTTGGCTTTGCATCTTCTACTGCTCCAGTAATCAATCCACCGTGGACCATGAAATAGTGGCACAGTTTACTCACTCCTAGCGGGATGTGGCCACAAGTTACTTTAACGGGGAAAACTCCCTCTTTCTTTAGTCTACACACTGCACACGAGAAGCAATCAATCTTTAGAGACATTATTATCATAATATATATTATATATTATTATTATTTTCGTTTTCTTCTATAACATATAAATTGTTTTCTTCTCTACGATTCACTGATTCATGGGCAAGAGAAATGAGAATCACGGTCCACCCTGAAATCTGATTTCTATAACCAAATTGTGATTATTATAACGAAATTATGGTAGCAACCGCCAATAAAGTTACAGCCCTCCATCCACTGCTTCAAAAGTCTTCTCTAGCACATATGAGACTTCAGGTAAAATATGATGATCACCACCCCCTTGGAACCCCATAATCTGAGTCGGCGGGTTTTTTTGTGACTGGTAAAATTTTTGACCGGGAAAAATATGGCGAAATCTTCCAAAACCCACCACTTTATCCCGGTTATAATATTCCCGAGTAAGGTAGGTTGTACTGTGAAGTCTCTCATGAGACTTCACTTTCTGAGATGGTACACAGGTTTAAGTTCTTTTTCATCCAGCCCCATGAGTTCGATCAGATCTTTCATCGCTTCATATAACAAGTTATGTCTCACAGTGAATGAAAGGAACTGCAATATTTTCTGATTAATAAAACTCGGTATCTTTATCGACTAGGCTAATATCACCAAGAACACCTTCAGCTTCCATTCCAATGTCTGGAGAATTAGATTCCATCCAATAGTCATCGTGAGAACAAAAAGGTTATTAAACTCTCTAAATCCTGGGAAGTTCCAAGTAAGCACTTGAAGTATCACATTGCTCATTGACAACAGTGTCTTGCTTACGCTTCTCTGACATAATACTGAGATGTTTGGGAACTGAAGAAAAATATTCAGTGCTAAAAATACTTTGGATGTAACACTGTTTCGGGCTTCATAACACTGTCACAGTTTAAGTAATACGGAATAATACGACTACAGCATTGCTGATCCATTTCTATTTCGGGCTACCCCAGGTGTAACCGGACAGGAACTTTTCCTCCGAACTTTTCCTCGTGTAGCCCTAACTAAAACAACCTCTACACTGCTTTCAATGTGTTACTCCAATTTCTGCGTTTATAAGGTTTCTGTTGTGACTTACGGTTTCAGTTACTAGATTCCCCAGGTCACTCAAATTAAAACCTCTAGAGCTCTAGGTACCTGCACAAGATACGGGAAATGATTGAGAGATGTGAATGCTTCAATTTTTCTACTAACTACTCACTAGATAAGGGCGCCGGTGTTTTTTGGTACTCTTGATATCTCTTCTTCTTTCACTAAGATATGATATATCCAAAAATCACATGGAAACAGAATTATTGTTTTATATACATAATAATATGTAATTTAAGCAATAGATACGTTTTTTACCACATTGTCATGGTAATATAAACTTCTCTGGAACTTCTCTTGTTACTGCTCCCATACAATTGCCCAAACTCTCTAAAACGTAACTACTGTACAGTGTACTTACATACAGACCGTACTACGATAATAATAATATTTTTATAATCAAATATTGAACGGTTTTTAGCAGAATGTAGCATAGATTTTAGATAAATACAATGAATTGTTGAGGTGCTCCACTAGACGAAGTGACACACCCTTGTGGATTCCAGTTAACATTAACCCAATGCTGCCCCAAATGATCCAAACATCTGGACCTAACATGGCTCATGATATCAATCCCCAGCTGCTTCAGTTTGCTGGAGAGAACAAACCTTGGCATTCAACTAGGAGCAATAACCAATAAAAAAAATGATACAAAAAGATACACAGGCAGGTCACAATGGTTATAGGGGTAGGCCTGTGAGCAAGGGAGTGTGTACCACCAGCCTAAGCTGTATAATTTCACAGCTTAATGACTGGCTTACTCGCATCCAACAGGATTTGTACCCAGGCATTCTGTTTGTTACCACTACACCAATCGTGGTACCACTAAATCAAAAAAGAAATAAGACAATTATAAAAGCTGTATACAAGCTGTATACAATTTACCTTGTTTGATATCCAGGCACTCGTATCTCGGATACGATATTCGTCGAGTTTTAACTCGGCAACAGCTTTCTTTGCCTCATATCTTACTGCCGCAACTTCCCCGATATCTGCTCTCACACATATCAGTTAAGAAACAACATTCAAGCAGTCACATTATTCCAAAGTTATCAACAGTTGAAGGTCAGCACAAGTATTGAGGACACAGGAAAGCTGTGAACTTACTTATAATTTAAATATCACTAAAAAACTTACGTCCTCTTTATTGACTATCGAGTATCGATATACCCGCAAACTGATTTTCATTGTCACTGGCATTATCGATCAAGCTACATAACAGATCAACTCCCGGTGTTCAGGCAGAAGAGACAAAAACTTCAGCTACTCCAGGCATTTAAATTTGTAAAGATATCAATGTACAATAATTTTAATTAAACTGTGGAGGATTAGGAGAATAGGAGTAGTAGAAGAAGAAGTAGGAGGAGGAGGGGGAGGAGGAGATAAGAACGATAAGGGACTCATGCACATTGAACAATCTAATTCTATTTGTGATACTGGTTAAAATACCATATCATAAACGAATTGAAGAAACAAGTTTTACTCTTGTTATTTAATTCTTGTTTTTAAAACAATGTTTGGGATTTTCAGATATGTATTCTGTCCGTTTTATATTTTATTGTGTTGATGATTTAGTATTTAATTTTACTTACTTGTATCTTAATAAAGAGCCGTACTTTATGATAAATTGGTAACCCAAATTCTCTTCCGCAGCCTTCTCAGTTCTCGGCCTCTCAATGTCGGTCACATTTGTTCAATTTGACAGGAATCGCTCAGGTGTCGACAAGATAAAAGGACGACGACACACCTGGTTTGTTTATACAACTTAAATTTGCTTCCTCTTGTCCTTCATATTTGATTGGTTGCTGGATCAACCTCAGTATCAACCTTTGTACTTTATGAATATTAAACAATCACGGATAAAAAGAATGAGATAACTCATAATTAATCCATCTTTTTATCCAGGTTACGAAGTTCTAAAGAGCGGCAGCCGAAAAAAAATGCCTTCTGAACAAATGGTCGCAGCCGACAGCTGAAATTATGATATTAGGATTGTTTAGGACTATCATTTGAAAACAAAAAATGAGTTACATATTGGATATTATGAAGGGCCCATAATAAGACTATAACGTATAGTATTTAAATTTTGTTGCAATTTGATATTCGAAACTCTGTATACTTCTTTATAGATAAAGAAATTGTATATATATATATAACATTCACTTTGAAATTTCGTCACAATACTAGCGTTTATCGTGTAAGTCAAACGACTTAATCATTAAATTAAAATCAGCTTATCAACGAGCAAGAATTGCGAAACATGTTGAAGTTTTCCAACTTAATGATAACATCGAACTCAATACGATACAAAATTATCGCCTGAATTGAAAAATCTTATCGCCGTCTGTTTAATTGTTTCTTCTCGGAAAGGGTCTTCATTACATTTTGCTGGAACACGCTTTATTATAAATGTAGAAACGTTAGCGCGGGTGAAGGACCCGCGCGGCGCGAAAAGTAACTTATTAACATTACTTTTTTGTAAGAAAGGAAGGTTAATACCTTACTTTAAGTAAGGTATAAAGGTTACTTTGCGCGGCGCAAAAAGTAACTTATTAACATTACTTTTTTGTAAGAAAGGAAGGTTAATACCTTACTTTAAGTAAGGTATAAAGGTTACTTTAAACCCCACTAACCTTACTTAAAGTAAGGTTTATTTTTATGAGGGAGATGTTTCATGCAATTTATCATGATTCTGTTATGTTTGTGTAATGCTTGAGAGTCAGAATAAGGCCAAATTTTTGTGCAAAGTGTAATTTACTTTACGTGAAATTGCCCATATAATACTGTTTCACCCATTAACTGGTACTTTCCGTACCACACATTACCATTTACCTGGTGTACCATGCGGTGTTTACTCACTACGACACTACAGTTAATGTTTTCAGTACAATGAGACCCAGTGTTTTGCAGATGATATGGTGTGGGCAATGGCGTTATGTGGGTTTAATTGTGATAATATTTCCTGGATATTGTAACAATACGTACACTATGAGAGGTTAAGGACTGTTAGAACGGTTCAATTATAAGAGTATACAGCCGCCCTAACATAACAGTGGGTTTAGGAGGGATCACGTGACAGTGGGTTTAGGAGGGATCACGTGACAGGGGGTTTAGGAGGGATCACGTGACAGGGGGTTTAGGAGGGATCACGTGACAGGGGGTTTAGGAGGGATCACGTGACAGGGGGTTTAGGAGGGGTCACGTGATAGGGGGTTTAGGAGGGATCACGTGACAGGGGGTTTAGGAGGGATCACGTGACAGGGGGTTTAGGAGGGATCACGTGACAGGGGGTTTAGGAGGGATCACGTGACAGTGGGTTTAGGAGGATCACGTGACAGGGGGTTTAGGAGGGATCACGTGACAGGGGGTTTAGGAGGGATCACGTGACAGGGGTTTAGGAGGGATCACGTGACAGGGGGTTTAGGAGGGATCACGTGACAGGGGGTTTAGGAGGGATCACGTGATAGGGGGTTTAGGAGGGATCACGTGACAGGGGGTTTAGGAGGGATCACGTGACAGGGGGTTTAGGAGGGATCACGTGACAGGGGGTTTAGGAGGGATCACGTGACAGGGGGTTTATGAGGGATCACGTGATGTAATATATCCTGGAAAGAAGTTCCATCTTCCTAAAATTGTTTCTTAAAGAGGGTTATAATCTAATATAACCCTCAAGAAACAAATTTAAACTTTTTCCAACTTAGACAAAACTCTGACATCTTACATTTTGAACACATCCTTGTCGTTACAATTAGGCTTGGGCTTAGCTACACCTAATTATTCATTACATAATGAGTAATGACGTTACATTATGATTATGATATAAGGTACGACGTTACATAATACATATTGATTTAAGGTACGACGTTACATAAAACATATTGATTTAAGGTACGACGTTACGTCATTATGACGATGATTCAAGGTACGACGTTACATTATGACGATGATTCAAGGTACGACGTTACATTATGACGATGATTCAAGGTACGACGTTACATAATACATATTGATTTAAGGTACGACGTTACATTATGACGATGATTCAAGGTACGACGTAACATTATGACGATGATTCAAGGTACGACGTTCCATTATGACGATGATTCAAGGTACGACGTTCCATTATGACGATGATTCAAGGTACGACGTTCCATCATGACGATGATTCAAGGTACGACGTTACATTATGACGATGATTCAAGGTACGACGTTACATTATGACGATGATTCAAGGTACGACGTTACATTATGACGATGATTCAAGGTACGACGTTACATTATGATGATGATTCAAGGTACGACGTTACATTATGACGATGATTCAAGGTACGACGTTACATTATGACGATGATTCAAGGTACGACGTTACATTATGACGATGATTCAAGGTACGACGTTACATTATGACGATGATTCAAGGTACGACGTTACATTATGACGATGATTCAAGGTACGACGTTACATTATGACGATGATTCAAGGTACGACGTTACATTATGACGATGATTCAAGGTACGACGTTACATTATGACGATGATTCAAGGTTGCATAACCAACACCCCTCTGAATGTAAGGGTAATACAATGAGAGTAAGATAAAGGATTGCAGGTCATTGTTACACCCTGTACTCCTGTAGCAATGTCGTCATTGTTGCAGCCTCTGGGGGGATGTTGTCATCGTTTAGGGACGAGTGTTGTGTCGTTAAACCCAGCTGACCAAGCTAATATTTAAAAGCATTGTATTCTTTATTTGTATTCTTTGGAAGTTTTCTAAAGAAATATTATCCTATTAAGACACAGTTTACGAGCGGTTAGTCATATCTGCTTTACATTTTTCAGTGTCTTAAAAAAATGGAATTATTGCATCGAACTTTGCAGAAATATAACTCCGGTAATATAAGTTCATGGTCACACTTTATTTGGAATTTGGTATTATTTAGAAAATTATATAAAGATATAATTCAGTATTTTCTCAACATTTCTATGTAATCGAATATGCGACGCCACTTAAAATTCAACCAAATTTTCGTGGTATCACTTCAAATTCTACATATTTGCCCATATATGGTAATGAAATGGAGTCTGATGCTGAACAATTGCTAAAGAATGAAGTGCAACCACCGACCAGCTAAATTCAACACCCAATTTATTGATTATTTAGAGTATCCCGCCTGCTAGACCCCAATTTATTGATTATTTAGAGTATCCCGCCTGCTAGACCCCAATTTATTGATTATTTAGAGTATCCCGCCTGCTAGACCCCAATTTATTGATTATTTAGAGTATCCCGCCTGCTAGACCCCAATTTATTGATTATTTAGAGTATCCCGCCTGCTAGACCCCAATTTATTGATTATTTAGAGTATCCCGCCTGCTAGACCCCAATTTATTGATTATTTAGAGTATCCCGCCTGCTAGACCCCAATTTATTGATTTCATTATTTAGAGTATCCCGCCTGCTAGACCCCAATTTATTGATTATTTAGAGTATCCCGCCTGCTAGACCCCAATTTATTGATTATTTAGAGTATCCCGCCTGCTAGACCCCAATTTATTGATTATTTAGAGTATCCCGCCTGCTAGACCCCAATTTATTGATTATTTAGAGTATCCCGCCTGCTAGACCCCAATTTATTGATTATTTAGAGTATCCCGCCTGCTAGACCCCAATTTATTGATTATTTAGAGTATCCCGCCTGCTAGACCCCAATTTATTGATTATTTAGAGTATCCCGCCTGCTAGACCCCAATTTATTGATTATTTAGAGTATCCCGCCTGCTAGACCCCAATTTATTGATTATTTAGAGTATCCCGCCTGCTAGACCCCAATTTATTGATTATTTAGAGTATCCCGCCTGCTAGACCCCAATTTATTGATTATTTAGAGTATCCCGCCTGCTAGACCCCAATTTATTGATTATTTAGAGTATCCCGCCTGCTAGACCCCAATTTATTGATTTCATTATTTAGAGTATCCCGCCTGCTAGACCCCAATTTATTGATTTCATTATTTAGAGTATCCCGCCTGTTAGACCCCAATTTATTGATTTCATTATTTAGAGTATCCCGCCTGCTAGACCCCAATTTATTGATTATTTAGAGTATCCCGCCTGCTAGACCCCAATTTATTGATTTCATTATTTAGAGTATCCCGCCTGCTAGACCCCAATTTATTGATTTCATTATTTAGAGTATCCCGCCTGCTAGACCCCAATTTATTGATTTCATTATTTAGAGTATCCCGCCTGCTAGACCCCAATTTATTGATTTCATTATTTAGAGTATCCCGCCTGCTAGACCCCTGTGTGCAAGGCAAGGGTATTTGTTACTGAATATGGATCCTTCATAGTATCATCTCCACAGTACATTTAATCCCGGCATCTAGCAGGCATCTATCCCGGCATCTATCCCGGCATCGAACAGGGATGATATACTCAGAGTCAGGCAAAGCATCTTCATTCTTTATGTTATCTTCTCGTGGGCCACCAGGTCCAGCCTCTCTTTTTTTCAATAGGAGAAAAGGATCCTGATCAAAGATAAGGCTATCTCTGATTCTCTTTCAAACCCATAACATCAACCAACACTACTACTGCAGGGATCAAGAGTCAGCAGACTAAAGATCGATGATATAAGTTTTTAGCACCTGGTAATTGAACGTTCAATTGTATATCTATAAATTAACTCCATTGCTAGTTTACCTCCGAATTCAGTTAATTAACCATCACATATTTTAATTCTGTAACGTGTAAATTGTGTTAAGGGGGGGGGGGGGGGGGGGGGGGGGGGGAGGGGGGGTGGGGGGTTCAACGTAGAATCGCATTTCGACCTTAAGTTTTGGGACAGAATTTTGAGTTAGACCTTTAAAAAAATTTGGCGGCCAAATTCTGAAAAATGCCCGGCAAATTCTGAAAATTTCATGTAAAAATATTGAAACCCTATTGAGTTCTATAGTTTTGAGCGAAGTCAGTTTTGCAAATATCGCGAACTGAGATATGGGCAATTTTGTTCATTTTTTGCGATTATTTGAACACAAAATCCACAGTTAGGTAGATATTGAGCTGATAATCATAGAGAATGTGTAGTATAGGCTTACCTTCCATATAAAGTTAGTTTCATTCAAAAATATTGATATTTGATCAATTTATGGGCCAAAATCGATCAAAATTGGTGCGTATGCCCAAATATGGTCATATGGT